TTTTTTTTTTTTTTTTTTTTTTTTTTTAAGACCTTTGTCTGAAAATTTTTTACTTCTTTGTTATCCTTGCATAACATCTTGTATTTGTAAATTCGTTTGAACTAGCAGTGTCTTGTAACAACTACTGAAAAAACGAGAAGGAGACGTCCTTAAGGAGTTCACTGCATTATTTTGGTTATTTTGCATCATGATACTGACAGTATTTTTCTTTCTTTTCCTTTCGATACTTGTGTTTTTTGTTTTGTTTTTTCGTAATGTGTTGGAAACAGGACGGTTTTGGTATTGTTAACGAAGAGAGAGAAAATCAAAAAAAAAAAAAAAAGAAAACAGAGTATCATTCCCTTTTGATTTTTTTTTTTATTGTTCTTCCTTTAAGAATTTGACTGGAAATTGTTTTTCTTTTTAGCAGTAAAATATTGATGAATGCCAAGGGAGATAACGGCCTGTATTGCGTGAGATATATTTTTATCTGTTATATGGATAATCTTTTGTTGTTTATTATTATTATTATTATTATTATTTTTTTTTTTTTCGTTGGGAATCATTGAGCTATCTATAAAGGGATGGATACCTAAAAATCTTATCCCATTTGGATTTTTTTTTTCGTTACGCTGAGACCCCATCGTATATGAATGTTAAATGTTGAGAAAAGTATTTACGGAGAGGAAGAAGAAGGAAAAGAGCTACACAATCATGATATTGGTTATCATGTAAAGAAAATAAAATGAGTGGGTGAGGAGGAGTTGTAGTTTTTTAGATATGTTTTTTTTATTTTTATTTTTTAATTTGCCTTTATTGTGGATTGTGTTTTTCATTGGGAGTTTCATTGTTGGGTAAGGGTGAAAAAAAAAAAATGATGATGATGGCACGATGAACTCATACGAAATGATTCATTCTCTGTTTTTTTTCTTCCACGGATTATGTTTTTTTAATTATTTTATTTATTTATTTATTATTTTTTTTTTTTCTACCTTCTTAGATTGCTTGAGAAATTATTACTTTCATTTATCTAGGTAAAGTTTGCGGAGGTAATAGTATTTCTTGCTTTGTTTTATAGGAGTTTTTTTTTCGTAGTATTTAAGTACAGTCAAACTTTTTCGTGTTTTTCTACCAAAAAAAATAAAAAATGAGGGGTTCCACTCAAGGCAACGAAGGAAGACGAGGAAGTGACCGAGGAAGAGGTGGTGGGCACCGAGGAGGAGGTGGTGGAAGCCGTGGAAGTGGTGGGGACCGAGGAAGAGGTGGTGGAAGCCGTGGAAGTGGTGGAGACCGAGGAGGACGTGGTGGGGACCGAGGAAGAGGTGGTGGAAGCCGTGGAAGAGGTCGCGGTGGAGGATTTATTGGGGGTGATTCCCGCATGAATCAAACAAGGGAAAAAGATGCTATAATGGATTTTGCGAACGAAACATTTGATTGCCCATTGGAGGCAAATACGAATTTATTCCCACTGGATATTGATAATAGGAAAAAAATTTATATACATATTGTTTCTTATGAAATGAAGGGGGGTGCTGGTGATTTGCAAGATCGTTTAAAGATAAAGGCTTGTGAAGAAATGCTGAAAAAGATGAAAAAAGAAATTAATGATCAAGGTTCATTTGATTTTGATATCTGTATATGTACAGGACAAAGTATTCTATCTCCCCAACCATTGCCAGTTGAGGAATACTCATTTGGTTTTGAAGTTAAAGGAAGGAAGGGAAAGACAACCCAATTTTATCAATTAACAGTTGCCAAAAAAGATTGTATTACTCTCGACATTGATAAACATAGGACAGAAATAAACTCTATTATTGGTAAAGCTGTAAAAACATGTTACAGAGATAAAATTGGAGAAAAATATATTGATATTAATGGGAATGGAACCACTGTAGGTTCCAGGATTGCTACCTTTGATGGGGTTATTCCTAAGGTATTTGCAACAACTATAAGAGGGAAAAAAAGAACAATATTACAGATTGATATTTCTGTTACCGTCGCTTCAACACGAAATTGTCTAACGGTAATAGAAGAACTAAAAAGAAGTGATTCTAGAGTAATTGATAGATTAATAATTGAAAAATTTATTAAAAAAAAGGTTTGCACCATATATAATGCTTCTCGGGGAAGTATCTATACCGTCAGTGGAATTAGCGACAAAAAAGCAAAAGATGCAACAGGATTAAAGGGAAATCCTGAACAAACATATGTTCAGTATTTTGCTGAACGATACAGGATGCAGATAAACCCAGAACAGACTTTATTTGAATGTAAAACATCGTCCGGTAGAAAGGTTTTTATTCCCCCTGAAGTTTTATACGAGTTATCTATTGATGAGAAAGACAGACGTCAGCTACCTCTTTTATGTTCTATATATCCTGATGATCGTCGAAAACGTGTTGCTGATGTCTTAAAGAGACTTAAGACAGAAGAAAATGGAGCTGCCATAAATATTTTAAAAAAATATGGTATTTCTTTTTCTGATAAAGAATTACTTGTCAGTGGCTATGTACTTGGTCCTGTGGAAATTTTAATTCCACGAGATCAGGGATATAAGTCCGTACAAACCCTTGGGGAGTGTAATCAACAAGGTTTTTTAAAAGAACTTCAGGTGTTACATCATCCAGGAGATCGACGCTCTTTGGATGTCGTTATTTATGATGAGACAAACCGAGGCGGAACCGTGTTAAACATCATTAAGAAAAATTTGGATTCTATTAATTCGCCTGTACGACTAGAAAATGTGTATCATGTGAAAAATATTAAAGATGCCAAGGGGTTTTCATATAAAAAAATGATGGCCTTTGCTTTTTTTCGTCAAAATGGAAAAGAGAATTATCAATCTCTAAAGTCTATATGGACAAAAAAAGATATTTTCAGTCAAATGATTGTTAAAGACTTAACAGAATATCGAGAGGCATCCATAGTAAAGGCTGTCTCTCAGCAAGTTTCAGCAAAACAAGGAAAATTAAACTGGGTTATGGATATTGCAAAATGCTGCCCATTACTTACCCAAAAAATGGATAGTAATAATGGATTACTTATAATTGCAGGGGATATTGGACGAGATCAGGTAAACGTTAGGTTCGAAAAATCAACAATGAGAGAATCAATATATACAGTTGCTTTTGTTGCTTTTTTTGTACGTGGAAAAGACTGGATAACGTACTGTAACCATTATCATGTTAATGGAAAAAAAGAAACAATTTTTTCAAGTGGTCAAGATGCGAAAAGTTCGCAGCTTTCTGGAGGTGTATTAATTCCTTCAGAAGTACTTTCTGAAAAAATGGAAAATTTTATACAAGATGCCCAAAAACACTTTAATCAAATGGGTCTCAAGGTTTCAGCCCTCTTATTTTTGCGTGGATGTGCTTCTGAAGGAGAAATGATAAATGCGCAACAACATGATGTTGATTTTTTAAGTGCATATTTAAAAGACAATGTTGCATGGGCTGCTGTGGCAGCTCAGCGTTATGTACACACTAGATTAAGCGCAAAAACTCCAGGGAATCCTTCATTGTTATGTAATGTACCACGGGGATTTGTAACAAGTGAAGGAACAGATAAAAGGTTTGGAGAATCATTTTTTCTTAATGGTGCGAATTGCACTCTGGGACACGCACGTTCCACACTATATGTTGTTTTTGGAAGAAAAAACATTTTTGAACTCTCTGAATTACAGAAACTCATTTATGGAATGTGTTTTCTGTACCCTAATAAAACCGATGCTCTTCCACTTCCTCTTCCGTTAAAGTGTGCTTCAGAGTATGCAAGAAAATTTGTTCCACTACGAGAAGTTGAAACATTACCGCAGTCTTTGAGGACAACTATGCACTACCTCTAGTCCTAGAGCTTTTTACTTTTTTTTTTAGAAGGTAGTTGAGGGGCTGGTAATATGATAGTGGATAGAAAAAGAAATTATCATGCTTTTTTTTTACTATTAAGAAGAAAGTAAAATGTCTTGGGGAGTTGTTTTAAGTTTTTTTTTTCTTTTATGCTCTTTGCGAAAGAAAAAAAAAAAGACGAAGGTCAATATAAAAGTGATTTTGTTTCGTTCTGATTTGTCTATCAAGGGAAATGGACTACAGAAGAGAAAAAAAAAGCGACGTCTTGGGTTTTGGCTGGTGTTTCTACAGACATTTTCTTAATAGGTTAAAAAGAGTGCAGTAGGGGGCTATTTTATGATACTTTCAATCTGTAATAATAATAATAATAATAATAATAATAATAATAATAATAATAATAATAATAATAATAATAATATCAACAATAAATATTCCTGTATTTGGTCTTTCAGTGCATTTCGCTTCTTATATGTATTTTTCCTCTTTCATTTCTTAAGCAGAAAGAAAAAAAAAAGAAATTCTTCTTTGATTGACGTTAGTTTCACTATTATCATTGTTATTCTTTCTAGAGAAAAGAGGAAATGAGCATGAAAAAAACAATAAGGGGAGAAAGAAAGGTTATGATGCGATTATTCTTAATGCTTCTTCTGATTGAGTTTGCTGCAGATTTGCACTTTCCTACTACAGAGGCACTCGAGGTGGAAGAAGCAACTCGACTGCAACTGCAGGAACGATTTCCTCTTGAGTTGAATCAGGAAGGGGAACAGCTTGAAAATGTTATGAAGGAATTGTGGCGTGGAGAGTCGATGGCAGTGAAACCACTGCCGTGGGTAAAACTTGATATGAGCAATGGTAGCATTGCTCTTCAGGGAAATGTAAAGTGTGGAGGAGGCTACTGCCCTAGTGAGGCTCCAATATGTTGCGGCAAAGCTCCATCATATTACTGCGTTCCTGGTGGAAGTAAGTGTTGCAGTGCTTTAGGTAGTGCTGAGATGGCGTGTGGACAAAACACAGAGTGCTGTGCCACAAGAAATAATGTAACGTGTTGTGGGAAAGATACGGTATGTATAAAGGATGGTGATGAATCAAAATGTGTTAAAGATGTCTGTGCAATACATAATACTGCTGACGAATGTCTAAATGAAGAAGATGGATGTGGATGGTGCTGTGAAGAACAGCGGTGTGTTTCAAATGGTACACGTTGCTCAATGGGAGGCACTGCCATTGTCTCTGGTGAAGTATGTCCTTCACTGTGTCAATACGCAAACACTTGTGGTCTTTGCCTATTGTCTCAAGAATATAATACATCAGGACCTTGTTTATGGTGTTGTAGTACACAGTCATGTATTTCCTCTAGTAGCGCGTTCACGTGTGCAAATGACCAAAGAGTAGATAGTTTAGGTCAATGTTCCGCTTGTCAAGCAAATGGAGCTGGAATAAATCCACGTTTTATTGGAACATATGCTCAGATTTTGGCAATTCTATCAGCTGTAATTCTTATTATTGGAATTATGTCATGTATTGGAGTGATACGGGCCTTTGTGTGTTATCGTGGTAGTATTGTGACACATAATGGAATGCGTCTAGCAGATGTGGACGCACAACGTGCAGTAAGACGTCATGGTTTTGGTTCGAGTGAACCACTTTCTACCGGTCGCCAAGCAAAAAATAAGTTAAAAAGTTACTTAAATACTATAATATCAGTGTTAAAGTCAAATTCAAAGTCAAAGGTGGAAGGGGAATATAAAGAAGGGGATGAAAATTCTCCTTTAAACAGTGTATTAAGTTGCGCTAAGTGTCAGCGTACATTACAGGCACATGCACTACCTAATGTTGCTAACTCAATGAAGGGTATAAAAACGCCCAGAAATAGAATTATTGAAGATTCAGTTAGGAAAAATCAAGAAGTAGATGATGATATCGTTATTTTATTACCATGTGGTCATTTGTTCTGTCGTCCTTGCCTGGGACTAAGAGTAAAAGAGAAATCTTCGGTAGTAATAAAAGATAAACATATAGAACAACCACAATCGTTGACGTCAGTTCAGTTTGACAAAAGTAATGTCAATGGAGAAAACAATTTTCTTTGTTTTAATACCGAAGGTGATGCGGCTACATCTGAGAACAGAGAGACTCGGTTATCAGAGGGATCCCCTGCTTTGTTTGCAGAGGAATATCAGAATTTACCTCACCAACATTTAGAAGGACAGAGAGCAAGATATGAAGAGGTTAATGTAACCGAGAGAAGAGAATCTTCACATTCTCAAATAGAAAAATGGAGAGAGGGATTATTACGTTCCTTGCATGGTCTTCATAATAAAAATGCTCATACAAATGTACAAGAAGAAAATGATGAAAACGTTGTACAGAAAAAAATAAAACACAAATGTCCTGTATGTCAAAAAGCTGTAAAAGATGTGCTTCTACCCGAGAATATTCTTCAATTATAATGTTTGGGGAGCATCAACTATCGAAAGATAATAGTTAAAAGAAAAAAAAAAGAAAAACAAGGAACAAAATGTTTTGAGATGCAGCGAGGTGTAGTGTGTGTCTGTGGGGTTGTGGGTTGTTGTGGGTTGTTGTTGTTGTTGTGGTAGTGTAGTGTAGTGTAATGAGGTGGAGGGTGTGTGAATCTAATGCATGCACACTTGTATCCTCTATTGGTGACTAGGTATACTTTTTTTTTCGATATGCAAAAATGAGCGATCTACTTTCACAGTTTATCTGTGATATGTCTAAATGCTACTTGACCTATAATTTACGCCCTTTCCTCCCTCTTTTTATTATTTAAATGTGTAAGATGAGCGTTTAGCTACTTTTGATTGTTCGATTTGACTACGTTTGTCGATGGGGTAATTGAAACGTCAAAGTGTTTGACAAAAGAATTTTTTTTTTCTTTTTCTGTATTCTCTATCTTGTTGGGATTCGTTGCGACGTTTGCCCTCTGATTTTTCCCCTGTTTTTTTTTTTTTTTTGTCTCTGAAGGGATAGTGAACAGGACAAAAAGGAACAGGCCCATTGACACAATTGCCTGTGCTCATCAACCTAGTTAGATCTTTTAACTAGGATAAACCTTAACTTAAGATAATTTATTGCAACATTTCTTATTATACTTTTTCACATTTCTGCAAAAATTCGCAGGTGTGGGTGTTTGTTTCTCTCTTTCTGTGTGTGTGTGTCTGTCTTTGGTCGTACTATTCAGAGTATGGTTTTGCCGCGGTTTTCTTTCAACATCTCATTTTGGCTTCGCAAACATCCGTGGCGTACTAATGCCGCTATAGGATCATCGATTGGATTTTGTGCCGATGTTATGGTTCAGTGTGTGTTTGGGAGACCACCTCCGCCATCTGACTCACCTCTGGTAATAAAATGTCCTGGGTTTCTCCATTTCCTTATCTCAAAACTTAAGGGTGTGGATAATGCCCCTGTTCCTTGGATTGATCTCCGGCGCAGCTTCATTTTCTCCAGTTTCACAGTAGCTTTTAACACCTACTTTTTTCTTAGTGTGTATCGAAGGCTGGATATTCTTTATCCACCAGCTAATGTTACACGACGCATAGCCCTAGTAAAAGGGTTTATGAGTTGGATAGCGGCAAATTTGACTACACCCTTGTATATGTTTTATGTGACAGTGCTAAGTCATTACTTTATAAATCGCACCGGTCGTCGGTATGTTGATGTTGTTGGGGGAGGTGAAGTTGGTTGGTCTCTAGATTATCCATATTTTCGTGAAGAAGTGGGGAAACAATTATGGCGACAACTACGAAAAGATTGGCCAGATATGACATTATATAGTTTGGCCTTTTGGAGCGTTAATTGGCTGCCGATGTTTTACTATATCCCTCCTCATTTCCGATACGTATATGGATCTTTGCTTCAGGTGGTCTGGAGCTTTATTATGTCTCACTTGATGCATCGTAATGTAAAAGTGAATTAATTTGGGAATAGTGGTGAAACTAACTACTAAAAACGTTGTAAATGCACATTATTATTATTATTATTATTATTATCTTTACTATTATTATTTTATTGTTTATTATTATATTAATAATAGTATTATGTTTATTATTTACTTTCAAAAAAAAAAAACCGGTAAAAATGTGATATTCATGCCTTTTTTCCCCCAAAGCACTATTGTGTGATTTTCTTACAAGATATACTCTTTACTAGAAGAATAAAGGAAGGCATAAATTAGTTAAAAGGACCTTTCTTTGAATATATATTTTTTCCTGTACTCATGAAGCGCACGTCGTTAAGGGTGTTGCATGCCACATTGGCTCTTATGCAGGGTTGGGGGAAAGGGTCTTCCTCCGGTGGCGGATGGGGCGATGATGATGGAGGAGCTGCGGGTGGCTGGGGCTCTGGCGGAGGAAGTGGAGGAGGCGGTGGCTGGGGTTCAGATGGCGGAAGTGGAGGAGGTGGAGGCTGGGGTTCTGGCGGAGGAGGTAGAGGAGGCGGAGGCTGGGGCTCAGATGGTGGAAGTGGAGGAGGTGGTGGACGCTGGGGCTCTGGCGGAGGAGGTAGAGGAGGCGGAGGCTGGGGTTCTGATGGAGGAAGTGGAGGAGGAGGCGGCGGCGGCTGGGGATCTGGCGGACGAGGAGGAGGGCGGGGTGGGGGCAGCCCGTGGAATGAGGGTGATGCCGGTTGGCAGGGAGCGTCTACAGGGGCACGTGCCAATCGCGGACGTGGAAGTTTCCGCCGCGGACGGGGTGGGGGCACAGATGGTGTCTGGGGACAGCCCAGCGCGGTAGACGAGGAGGCGTGGTCTGCTGCCCCACCTAGCTTTAACCCACCGGTGCGGCGTGTGGACCCCCTCACCCTTACTGCTGTGGAGGTGGAAATTGATGGTGTTAAAAAGTTGGTAGGTCAACGGGTGCAAGTATCTGGACTTTCTGACGAAACCACATGGCATACGTTGAAGGATCATTTGCGCCAAGCAGGTGAGGTGACATTCTGCAAGGTTTTTTCAGGCGGAAGGGCGGTGGTCGAATTTGTTACCCCAGAGGATGCTGCTCGTGCTATTACGGAGCTACAAGCGTCAGAGTTGGAGGGGACGACACTGTTTCTTCGAGAAGATAGAGAAGATACTGTTCTCGTAAATACGCGTAAAAAGATAAGAGAGGCTCGGGATGCTCAGCTTCGTGCACGAAAAGAAGAAGCAGAACAGCGACGACGAGAACAGGCTATATCAGAGGGCGATATGGATTCGACCACATCTGTAGCTGAATCAAAATCGAAGAAAGAGGAGAAGAATACAACAGAAGCAACTGCGGCTTCCGTTAATTAAGAACTCCAGTTGTCGAACCCAGTAAAATACGTAGTATCACTTCACAGAACAGGAAAGAAAGGGGAGAAAAAGAAAAAGAAAACATAAAGAAAGTGGAAAATATTTTGAGAAGGAAAGATGGTAGCGTTTACCACTCCCTAACGTACACAATGGCGAGACGATGCTTAGGATACCCAATTTAAAGTATTTCAGATTACCGTTAATTTATGTTGAGAAAATCAAAAAACAAAAATGGTGAGGTGAGTGTTCATAAAGCTGTACGGAAAGGGAATGAAGGGAAGAGAGGGAAGAACTACAGATAACGCGAAAAGAGAAAAAAAAAAAAAATGGGTTATGAGAACGATGAATTATCGTGTAGAATAAAAATATGCAGTAAATCTTTCTTTATATAGGGGATTGTTAATGCGATTGTTCCATTTTTGTTCTCTTTTCTTTTTGGATTTTTATTTTTATACTTTAACAGGACAGACGCTGTATTTTTTTTGTTTTCATTTTATAGCCCTATCAGCATTATGGCGAGTTCGTCGCTGGTGCGGGTGAAGGCTTCCATAGCGGATACCGCAGTGAAGCGGCTTATTGTTTGTATAGGTTGTGCTAATCAAGAAGAAAATGTAATGCGTGGAGCCCTTGGCAACCGTGTCGCACAGCAAATTCTTAACACATGTTCTCCTTCCCCAAGTGACATACATAACCCTGATGTGAACCGTTTACATCCACGAGATGCACTTGGACGAGCACGTCGACAGCAAAATCATCATCAACGGAAAGTTTTTTTTAAAGGTACTTCAGCTGTAGGTTCCGTTAGACGACATGGTAGCATACGTAATCCACAGACGTGGGATTCAGAACGTGTAGTAGACTACTTGGGTGTATGGTGTGATCGACTACTTTTGGGAGAACACACAAACCCATCAAGGTGTGCATTACTAGAGCCACGTGTACCGCCTATAATGTTTGGAGAATCACTGGAGCGTGTCCTTCGTTCACATCGCAACTTCCAAAGTAGTGATCTACTATTTATATTTGGTAGTTCTCAATTTGAGTTTGGAACAATGCGTCTTATTTCTTACTATGATGATTTGCTTACGTTTCCAAATGGTGGTCCATCGACTTATCAACATTCTTCAATTGGCGAAGTTTTGCAGAGGTTAGCGGGTCCTCCTAATGCCGCTTACGCACTCGTGTTGGGTATTGGTGACTCCAATGGAGTGTTTGCACCACTCACAGCAGAAGAGAATGTAATAGCAAATGACCGCATCATACCGCTTGCTAGTTTTACCAGCGCATTATGGACAGTAGACCCGAAAAAGGCAATGGAATATCTCTTAAGTAATCCTAGAGAAAATCTGCGACTTTGGCGTACCATGCAGTCTTCTTTGTTATCCACACGTGATACAGCTGTACTGCGCGCCTATGAAAGTGGTGTACCCCTGGACGCAAGAATAAGTCAACAACAAACTAATTATCTTGCCGAGACACTTTTGTCACGTTTATTTCCTCAGATGGATGAGAAATGAAAAAAAAAAAAAAAAGAATATTAATTGTTTCGGCAGTTTTTCAGTGTATATTAAATCGTTGTAAATAGTATTAAATAATATTCTTTTTTCTACTTTTCCTTTATTATGATTTTTACAGAAGGTTCTCTTGTTGTTATTCTTCTTTTTTTTTTTTACTTCTTCTTGTATATTTTCGCTTTAATAGTAGTATCTATCTTTATTATTATTATTATTATTATTCCAAAGAAAAGAAAAAGTACACTCAATTGATTTTTTTTTTTTACTCTACAAAAACTAAGAGTAAAGCATCATGACGAAGGCGTTGAAACTATTTAAAAACGCAATATGTCCATATTCTCAACGTGCTATGATTATGGCAAAAGAGAAACAACTTACTGTGGAAGAAGTGGATATTCCTCTTGGAGATGATAAACCAAAGTGGTACAAGGATATTAACCCACGTGAGACAGTACCAACACTTCAGGTTGATGGAAAGCGTTTTGTATATGAGTCAGATCTTATTATGCGTTACCTTGCCGGTATTACCGCAGACAAAAATAATTTGTTGGGTTCTACACCTTATGAACGCCACCGCGTGGAGTTTTTCATGTCTCAGGTTAGTGACCTTATTGGAGCATACTTTACTCTGAGTGAAGATCCTTTTAATGAGGCAAAACGAAAAGCGGTAGATGACAATACTGAATATATTGAAGCTATTGTTGCTGAACAGCAAAACGAAGGACCATACTTTCTTGATAAAACATTTTCCATCGCTGATATTACGGTATTACCTTTCTTTATTCGTTTCCACCCAGTTTTAAGTTACTATGCCGGTTACGATATATTTACGAAGGCTCCTCGCATGAAGAGAATGTTTTTCGAATCTATTAAGCGACCTTCTGTAAAGGAAACAACACTAAATCCAGAAGATTACATTGTTGCCTTTAAGACACATGTACCATCATCACACCTTACATGGCCACTCGCCCCAAACCATGTATTATTTGTTAATATGATGTGTCCTTTTGCCGATCGTCCACGGCTAGCATGTGCGGTAAAAAATATTGATTTCCCCATTGTTGAAATTGATTTGAGTAAAAAGCCCAAATGGTACTCATGGATTAACTATCGTGAGACTGTACCAACATTACTTACACCGCAAGGTTCTTATGTTCATGAATCTCAGCCTATTGTTCACTACATTGATGAACAATTTCCAGAGAAAGGTCCACAACTTCTTCCCAAGGATGCAGATGGTTCCTATTATGTAAGATTTGCTGAATCTAATGCCAGTTATTTTCATAGTGCCATGTATGGTCTCATGAAGAATCCACAAGACAAGGGTGCAAAGGAAGATATTGAGTGGGTGGGTAGTGAATTAGAAAAGCAACTAAAAGAACAACACTTTGGTGCAGGACCCTTCTTTGGCGGTAATAAAATGAATGCCGCTGATGTCTATGTTCTCCCCATGCTGGTACGGATGAAGGCGTGTGCACCAGAGTTGACTGGTGGTTACGATTTCTTCGCCAAACACAAATTACTTGAAGCCCTTGTGGACGCTGGTCTCGCATCGGAGGCGGGTAAGAAGGTCTTCCTTCCACTGCAGGAGTACCACAATCTATACAAGGCAAAGTTTGGTACCTCTTCATAAATTCCAGAAGCAACAACAACAACAACAAAAAAAAAAAAAAAAAAAAAAAAAAATAACATGAGACAGTTCCCCTCCAAGTACAAAATAGAGAATAAGATGGACCAAGAA